CCCCAAAACCCCAAAACCCCGAGTTGCATGAATAATATGATTGATAATTAATCATGATTACTAAATAATAAAGAAATTAAAATTCTTAACGTGATTCTTTAATGAAGTATAATTCTGTAGAAAAAGAGAACTAGCACAGAAAAAAGAAGAAGATTCTTGCCATTAAAGATGTCAGAGTTGACAGATACTCGCCCAATCTCTTTATTGAAAGGAAATCATTGCTAGATTAGTATCTAACAGATTCATCAATCTCACAATCACCATTCAAAGGAATTTTAAGAGCAATAATGATCCTGACTGGAATTTACGTCATAAACAATATCACTGTATCGTCATTCTTATTCTAATGATTTTAGCTTAGAATTATCAAGGATGATGTTTTGTTGGCTCTACAAAGGCTACATCCAGCTAGAGGTCAAATCGAAATAGGTCTTGAATTCTGGGCTCTAGTTCATTTCTGGACATACTTGTGAGTGATATCTTTCAAATCTTTGTTTGAATCCTAATCAATTCTAATTCATATTTTTCCTGAAATAACACTCTCAACTATAGATCATTCATTAATTAAAAGTTGATTATTTGGGGCATTCCATTCAATATCGTTTAGATAGCTGAGCTGGCGGAGGAAATGATGCTATTCTTTGGTTTTCCTTACTTTGTTTATCATTCATAGTATTAATAGCTTTGATAAAATGAACACTTATTTTAGCAATTTTTATCTCTCTACAAGAATGTATATGTATTTCTAGATTTGCATTCACTATTTCAAGGTAAGATTAGCTTATCATTTTAGATTAAATTTTTAGATGAATTCTTACTATAAAATGAATAGAGATTACAGAGAACAATACCTTAAAGATATGAATAAAGGCTCTGAAGAAGGAACTGCATTAAAGTACCCGAACAATATAAACTTCAGAGATTTCTTTTTATACTTACTTCATCCAACATTCTCCTATCAAGATGAGTATCCAATTAAGCATGAATTCAATCTTAAGATGTTTATTTTCAGATTGGTGGTACTTTTATTTGGAATCGTAAGAATATCTTATGTTTGATAGTGCTAATATGTTTAGTATGTAATGTGGCAAGTGTATGAAGATCAGCTCATACCCTTACTTTAATTATTTTATGATGGAATATCTGTTTATGAGATATTTCCATGCTTTTACTTACCTACTCTAGTTATTTACTTTGTAGGCTTCTTTGTGATATTTGAATTTGCTTGCAACTGCTATGCTGATATTTCTGGATTTGCAGACAGATAATTCTACTAGGACTATTGGAACTGTACTAACTTTGATCAGTATGCCAGAAAGTGGAATAAATTAGTTCATGAATTTCTTTACAGACATTTCTACTTGGAATATCTGATTAGATGGAAGTTAACACCCTTTTAAGCAAACCTATGGACATTCGTATTTAGTGTTATTTTCCATGAGGTTTTCTTAACTTTAATTTTCAAGAGAGTCTCCTTTTATTTGACAAGTCTCCAATTAAATCAACTGCTTATGCTCTTTGCATTTACTTTTCTTAGAGGATCAATGTTCGCCAACATGCTATTCTGGTTCGGCTAATTCTTCGCAATTACCGGCGTCTGCTTCAATTACTCATACGATTACATGAACTTTGAGTATGCTCCAAAAGGTGAATATGAGTTTTGATTCTAGAATAATCTTAATTTCTTTGCTAATTTACTTTGACTGCCACAAATTATTATATTTTTGCTATCCGGGGTTTTGGGGTTTTGGGGTTTTGGGGTTTTGGGG